CTCCGTCATGACTACCATCAGGGGTCGAGTGGGCTTCGCGCCCATCCGCCCGCCATCTCCTATCTCCCCCATCACTACTGCTAGCCCGACATCCAAATGTACCTGGACGTGAAACCCGTCCGGGTTCCCTCCCCTTCTCGCTGCCGCGCCCGCTGCCTTGCTGCTGCTGTAGTGCTCGACCCGATGACCCGCGCAGCGAAATCCCTCTTCGGTCGTCACGCGCTGGAGACTGCCGAGGGTGGGGGACCTGCTATCGGGCGGGCCGATCGGTCCTTCGCCTCTTACACCCAAGTTTGACGAACGGGTCGTAGCAATACCGCTGCAGGTCCCGCCAAGCCTCTTCCGACTGCCCCACTAGAGTACCGCCCCGCCCCACTTCGGGTTCCCACCGGCCACCCGCTCATAGGCAGCAGCCACAGGTCGGGGACGTTGGCCCTGTGGCACCCAAGGGGTCGTCGTAGATACCCAGATAAGGCCCTTGGGCGCCGGGGTGAGGGGGTTCCGCCAATATACACCCCACAACCTGCACTATTGCCTAGGTGCAACTAGCCCCTCCTTTCCTCGATTCGTGTGTGTCATCCTTACGCAGGGGCCATGTTAATCTTCTTGGTATCGTTCCAATTTTAACGGATGTCCCGAGGGACTTAGGCCACCGGGCCGCTCCGCCTTCTCAGTAAACCGCGGCCTCTACAAAATGGCCCCGGGGTAAGCCAGGATACTGGTCCGTACTTCAACCGTTCATGGGTGCGCCCCACCGGGCTAGGCTCTTGGGTGCCTGCCGCACCCACGGCACAGCGTCCCAGGCAAATCGGTGCGGGGCGCGGCTCTGGCATAGTTATGAGAACAGTCTGTAATTGCACTTCGGACGACCCCGCAAATACAACACACCCCCACGTGCTCCTACCGCAGCCCCACGTCCCAAAACGGGGCGCGAGACCCAGAACAATAAAAAAATAAAATAGAATAACAGTAACGTCGGGGAGTCGTGGGATCGCTGGCACCATGCCGTCCCGTGGAGTGGTCCCGCCGCCGCGCCTGTAAGCAAAACCGAGGGGGGGGATAGCCCCGCGGGGCCCTCAACCCTTCAGGTTTCGCTCCACGCCGCTCCGCTGCTGCCGCGCTGACGCCCACTGGCCTCGACCCTTGAACCTCCGTTTTCCGAATCCAATACCGTAACCAATAGGGCTAAGCCCAAGCCTAGAGTTAGCCTACGCAAAACCCCATATAAGGTGAGGCGGCGCAGTGCCTAGGCCAAAAAAAATGGCCTGGCCATCGTCTCTACATGCAACCAAACCCACGGCCGCTAAGTATCCACGCCGGCCTACCGAACCCGTGTCGTAGCCGCCCCCGCGCGCCATCCTATGCCGCCCCATTTACCACACAAGGTCGCACCGTCGTTGTCGATGCCGTCGTCCTCGCACGCACGCTCGCCTCGGTCAAAGGAAAATATCCTTAATTCCTATTTAATCAAAAATAAATAAAAATAAAACAAAGTTAAACCGACCGACGTCCGCGCCGGCTTTATAATCAACGACAAGGAAAGAAATCCCGCGCGCCTTAAACCCTGCGCGCCCATGCACTCTCTACTTCTAGACCTGATAGCCAACCTATAGTCACCACACTGCCGCAAGTCACGCGGCCTTCTCAACAATTCCGGGTCAAACTCGTTTTTTGTCACTTGCAAAAACCAGGGCGGATACCCTTGTAAGGGTATTCGCGCCGACAATGGGGTGCCGATGTGTGGTGCAGGCAGCAAGGGATGTAGATGAACAGGGCAGAGGAAGAGTGGCGGTTCCAGAAGGATCGAAGGAGGCGGGGTGGTCGGTATTCCTCGTTCGATTGGAGTGGTCGTGGTCGTCCAAGCTGAGTGTGCAAGTGCGCTTTCACGGCACTGATCCGACCATCCCAACTAATGACCAATCGATCGCTCCAAAGGGAAGGAGGAGGATCGGGCGTAGAGTCGAGGGAAGACAAAAGGACATGCAGGGAGAAGCGCTCAGCCAAAGGGGAAGATGGCGCGCATGCGCAAGCGGGAACCGAGCTTACGTGCCATGCAAGAGTTAAAAAGAAATGGCCACGCGCGCTTTAGCGCAAATAAATTTTAAATGCTGCCAACCGAAATTCCTAACTGTTTCTTGGATTTCGTAGTGCGATCGCTACCCATCCGCGCGGTGAACTAATTTGAACAAGGATATGGGCAATCTTGAAAAATGCCTGCCATTAACCTCAATAATGAGAAATGGACCCGGTTTTTCCTGATCCGCTAAGATCTGTGCTTCGGGGCTTACTTCGGGTTTTACTCCGAAGTGTACGTGAGGCCGCAAAGTACGGATCGCCGCTTATCACAAGTGGCTCCTGTTGGAAACCCAGTCCAGCGTCCCATGAACATTGTGAATAAAGCACCGGCCGGGACTCCCCCCCGCCCCCCCCAACTCTTGACGTTGTGTATAGCGAACATGACAAAACATAAACACAGCATAATTAATCACTACCTTACCCGTCCCCAACCACATCAAGAAACAAACTACGGGCTGCACATCCGTGCCCTCACAGTAAGTCAAGCGCGCGCGCGCGCGCGTGTGTGTGTGTGTGTGTGTGTGTGTGTGTGTGTGTGTGTGTGTGAGAGAGAGAGAGAGAGAGAGAGAGAGAGCCCTGCAGCATGCAGCATGTCAGTGGCGGGGAGCACACGGGCAGGCACTAACCTCGAAAAAAAAAGACAAGGTAAGGGTCCATTCGAATACAAGAGTTTTTTCTTTCCGAAATTCGAATAGAAAACATGCATGTTGTATTATTCAATTACAATGAGTACGCGGTCTATTCAAAGTGCACTTCTATTCGAGAAAATGGACCCATGCCATTTCGATTTTGAAATGTTCAACTTGAGGACCGCAGCCTCTACGGCCTCCTACGGACAGCTACCGGTCCTCCACAAGCAACAACTGCCCCTTCCCCATGAATTGCCCCCCCAGCAAATTCACCACCCTTCGGACCCGAACCGGCGACTGGTACGACTGTACAATAAAATTTGATTCAGGGGTATAAAATGCAACCCTGACGGCCTGCGAACATCTGACATTGTTATAAAAAAACACAAAAACAGATGCCCAGACAGAAACTTCCCAGCAGGTCCAGGGATGTTCTGAGACATTTCACCACCAAAAGTTTGGCTAGTTAGGGCGTCTCCACACCACTCTCGAAATGTGCAAATTGAGAATGAACTTCCCGCTAGAACATGGCCAGATGCGCCCGCCAAATTTTTGTCTTTTGCACATTTCGAGAGTGGTGTGGCGAGGCCCTTAGTGGAAACATGCATAAGTCACCCAAACTTGGCTCCCTGAGTGGCTTGAGCTCACAGCAAGGACACAAATGCCAAATGTTCGCTTTGTCCGTGCAGTTTTCCATTTCTCCAATAAGGGGGCCTACAACCTGGCCTCGTTATGTGGACAGGATTCAAACTCGAAAGACGGTTCACACGCGTACTAGGCATTTCTCCTTTTTCTTTTTTTAGGGACAGTGTGAAGAGGGTAGCCCCTGACCTTATTGTCAGGATTCGAGCTCATGACCATTATTGGCAGGATTCGAGCTCATGACCACTTTATTCACACCTACTTGTGTGTACCATTCACCACATGGCCTGGGCCTACGTGTAGCATTCAGCCAACAGCCAGCCGACGGATCGTCCTTCACAGCTCTACGAGTAACAACGTTTTCCACAGAGAGTCAGCGAGTCCCGAAAGAAAAGGAAAAAAAAAGACTATCAGCGATGCTATAGCTGGGTCGGAGCTCCATTTTCTGGGGCTTTTCCAGTGGCATCGACCGGGGCAGCGCAGCAGGCTCGATGCTTGAGCTGGGACGGAGCTCCGGTTTCTGTTCTGGGGGCTTTTCAATTCAAGTGTTTATCGACTGGGCCAGCACAGCAGGCTAAGGACCGGACGACGCTGGTGCTATGTTCGTGCTAAGAGGACATGAACCCGCGCATAAAAAGATGACTAGGTTCATGCTAAGTTCGGACACACATAGCAGCAGTGGAGCCTGGCCCTAACACAGGCCAGCGGTAACAAAGCCATCGCCAACCTGTGTGTCCATGCCGTGCTGCGTTGGCTATCGTGTTGCTGGAGATGCCGGTGTTTTGAATTGAACCCCTTTCCACCATTTCCCCCGTGTCCGTTCTGTGGGACATGAACTGGGGCCAAGTCCCAGTAGCAACATTGAGTTTCCTCCCCGATGGCGACAACCACGTCCACATGCAGGCGTTGAGGAAACTGAAGGCTGCTAGGTAGTGGTATATGTACTGGGCATAGTTTCTGATGCTCTGTCCGTGCTCAGAAACATAAAGCAACCGAGGTCGTGCTAGCAAAGCACAGGCATAACACATAGCATGGAAAGCATAGCATAGCACGGGCGTAACATAGCAGGGAAAACACATCATAGCACGGGCATAGCATCGCAGACTCTGCCCGTGCTCAGAAACATCAAGCAACCGAGGTCGTGCTAGCAAAGCACAGGCATAACACATAGCATGGAAAGCATAGCATAGCACGGGCGTAACATAGCAGGGAAAGCACATCATAGCACGGGCATAGCATCGCAGACAAACATAGCATATAAGCACGGACATAGGACCAGTGCTATGTCAGTCAGTGCTTAGAAAGCGCAAGCGACTGACTGCGGGCTTGCTAAGAACGGACAAACCACCAGAGGGGGGGCTCTGATGCGACTTCGGTCTTCCCCCGAACATAACGCATATGAGTTGTAATCGAATACAACGTACAAGTAGCCAGGCCCTTCTGGTGCTCTGGCCGTGCTGGGCGGCCCCTGGTGCTCTATCCATGCTTCGAGAGCACATCAACTAATCAGCAAAACAAATCCCGGAGTGCTAAAGCAAGACCAACCATTGCACTGGAGGGCCTTTACCACCCTCCTTCCATGTGGTTCGTGTAACGGGATCAAGGGGAAGAGGCAACACAATACTACGGCTCCAGGCGAGGGCGGGGTTGGGTTTCATCCTTGTTGAGCAGAAGAGTGTGCTGTGGTTGTTTGTTGTGTTTTTCATCGCGCTCACATTTTCTACCTGTCGCAGTGGAAAGTGTCGGGCGGGAGTTTAACGAGGAGGAAGAGGAGGAGGGGCGTCGGCGTGGGCGAGGGAGAGGGAGGGCGGGCGGGAGGGAGGGGGTAGCTGCCACGATGATGCTGCGGAAGGCGGGGCGTCGGCTATGGCCCACCGCGTTGGGCGGTTGCCGTCGGTTGCTGGCGCCTTTGACCGAGTCTGGCTCGGTGACTCGTGCAGCACCACGTGTCGGTCTGCCGCCAAGCCCGTCCCGATGGACGAGTGGGCGGGAAGCGCACTCCAGCGTCTCGAGATTGTCTGAGAACTGCCCGCCCTTCCTCTCCCGCGCTTTCCACTCTGCTAATCGCGCGGCGGTGACAGCGTTCCCAGCCTCCACTGCGACGACAACCGTGTCGGCCTCTGGCTCCGCGTATCCGATCGTGGATCACACCTACGATGCTGTGGTGGTGGGCGCGGGAGGCGCGGGCCTCCGGGCGGCAATTGGCCTCTCAGAGCACGGGTTCAACACGGCATGCATCACAAAACTCTTCCCAACTCGCTCGCATACGGTTGCCGCCCAGGGAGGCATCAATGCGGCGCTGGGCAATATGACTGAGGATGACTGGAGATGGCACATGTATGACACGGTGAAGGGGAGTGATTGGTTGGGGGATCAAGACGCGATTCAGTACATGTGCAGGGAGGCGCCCCACGCAGTTCTCGAGCTAGAGAACTATGGTTTGCCCTTTTCCAGAACAGAGGAGGGGAAGATTTACCAGAGAGCGTTTGGCGGGCAGAGTCTGGACTACGGCAAGGGAGGTCAGGCGTACAGATGTGCGTGCGCGGCGGACAGAACGGGGCACGCAATGCTCCACTCCCTCTATGGCCAAGCGATGAAGCACGACACGCAATTCTTCGTCGAGTATTTCGCTCTCGATCTCATCATGGATGAGGAGGGGGAGTGCAGAGGAGTGATCGCTCTCAACATGGAAGATGGAAGCCTGCACAGATTCAGGGCGAAGGAGACGATACTTGCAACGGGAGGCTATGGGAGGGCCTACTTCTCTGCCACGTCAGCGCACACTTGCACTGGGGATGGCAACGCTATGGTGGCGCGAGCGGGTCTCCCGCTACAAGACCTGGAGTTCGTCCAGTTCCATCCGACGGGCATCTACGGTGCAGGCTGCCTGATCACCGAAGGATCGCGCGGGGAGGGGGGCATTTTGCGGAACAGTGAGGGGGAGCGATTCATGGAGCGCTACGCGCCAACGGCGAAGGATTTGGCGTCGCGGGATATCGTGTCCAGAGCGATGACCTTGGAGATTCGCGAAGGGAGGGGAGTGGGACCGGAGAAGGATCACATCTACCTGCACCTTAATCACCTTCCTCCGGAGGTGCTCAAGGAACGGTTGCCTGGGATTTCCGAGACGGCATCCATCTTCGCAGGTGTCGATGTTACCAAGGAACCCATACCTGTGTTGCCCACGGTGCACTATAACATGGGCGGGATCCCGACCAACTTCATGGGAGAGGCGGTGACGTTGCGCGGTGGCGATCCCGACTTCGTTGTCCGCGGCCTGATGGCCGCGGGAGAAGCCGCCTGCGCTTCCGTCCACGGCGCCAATCGTCTGGGCGCCAACTCGTTGTTGGATATCGTGGTGTTCGGGCGGGCGTGCGCTAACAGGGTGGCGGAGATTCACAAGCCTGGGGAGAAGCAGAAGCCGCTTCCGCCTGGCGCGGGGGAGGAGACGATCGCGCGTCTGGATCGGTTGCGCTACGCCGATGGGGATCTGTCAACTGCGGAAATCCGTCTCGACATGCAGCGCATCATGCAGAATGATGCCGCTGTGTTCCGCACGCAGGACTCGCTGGAGCATGGGTGTAAGTTGATAGATGAGTGCATGGCGTCTTTCTCGAACGTGAAGACGCAGGATCGAAGCCTCGTCTGGAACACCGATTTGGTCGAAACGCTGGAGTTGGAGAACCTTCTCATCAACGCGACGATAACGATGCACTCGGCGGAAGCGCGCAAGGAGAGCCGCGGAGCGCATGCGCGAGAGGACTTTCCTAATCGGGACGATGAGAACTGGATGAAGCACTCGCTCGGATTTTGGCGGGACGGCAAGTGCGTGATGGATTACAGGCCAGTTCACATGAATACTCTGGACAACGAGGTGGAAACCTTCCCGCCAAAGGCTCGTGTGTATTGATGGGACCTTCCCGCCAAAGGCATCGTGTGTATTGATGGGACCTTTCCCGCCAAAGGCATCGTGTGTATTGATGGACACAGAGGCAGAAAGACAGAAAGACAGAAAGACAGACGCAGCAGCCGCAGCAGCGCAACGAGTGTTGTTTCTTAACCAAATCTCGCTCCCTCGCGAGAACTTCTGTAATTGCAAGGACTTCTGTAATTGCCCCGTATCCTTCACATACAAGAGAAATATGATGAGGTCTGAATGAGAGAGGCGAGCAACGCATGACGCTTCTCTATCAATTTGATGTAATTCCACCTTTTTCCTTTGACGCGTACTTTTGCCTGTTTCGTAGATGATGATGACAACTGCCTACTTCGGGTTAACGTGTTGTTTGTCGAGTTCTGTACGGGATTGATGGTTTCCTTCTTTAGATTTAGATATGGACCCTCACACACATTGGCACAGAAAGTGCGCGCGCGTGCATGCGCACGCCCCCAATGATTAACCACATCGTTGGCGGGAAGGAGCGAGCGAGCGAGAGAGAGAGAGAGAGAGAGAGAGAGAGAGAGAGAGAGAGAGAGAGAGAGATTAAAGTTAGGATCGTGCGCCCCAGCGCATATCCCAGATAGATGTGTAGGATTTAAACAATGGATAGAAATAGGAATATGAATAGAGAGCACGGAGGAGCTGTACTGTCTGGCTAGAAAGATAGACAAGAGGACGGAAGGACTATGTGATTAGTCATCTGATAGTCAGGCAGTCAGATAGACAGAGGGCGGAAGAACGCTACGTCGACGTGGGGGGGAGTACATTCTTTCGATTTGCTATTTCTTGTAGAACCAGACTTTCATAAGTGTCTATTGCGTTGTAATTGGTCAATTTATTCCTGAATTGCCATTTCTCTTGGACAAAAATATCCTCTCTTAGCTGCCTCGCTCGTTTGTCTGTTGTTCGGGGTTGATGATGAATTCATGGCCATCAGTCAGACTCTGATCAATCTTTATTTCCTCCTCTTGAGAGAGCGCCGCAGATTTCCTCTAATGGTGATCGAACACTGAATTAACCCCCATGAATCAAAACGTAGGAAATTCCAACTCGGCGACTTCTTGGAGTAAGATGACAGCGAGGGGGGGGGGGGGAGAGAGAGAGAGAGAGAGAGAGAGAGAGCAGTGACAAGCGATGTCAACCTGTCTGAGTTTTGCCTCCGAGCTCGTTTCTTGTCCTTTCAAACAGAGTATCGATCACGGAGTCCAATTTTTTTTTCTCTTTTTTCTTTTCGAACACAAGAATGGCCAAGCACCAAGTTCAATAAATCGTCACCTCACTCTCTTGGTTCCCCTCTTTCCCCCGCCGTCTTCCTTTCCCCTCCCCTCCCCCGGTCTCTCCCTCTTTTCTTCCTCTCTCACTCCTCTTTTCAGATGTCTTCGTTCCACCCCCCCCTTCCCCCCCTTCCCCGGCCCCCCCTGCAATCCACCCTGGCGTTGTTTTTTCTCCTTTCCTCCGCCGTTTTGTCCACTTCCTCATCCTATTCTATCACTCCCCTCTTTCCCGCTCTGCCCTTGTCCCCCTCCTTCCCCCCCCTGCCCCGTTTTGTTCGTGCTCCTTCAGTTTTTTGCTCAATTCCGCATTCGATCAGTGTGACTAGGTAGAATTAAGGAGAAGCGACGTGGGCGCTCTACCTAACGAACACGTGGCACTTAAGTGGACTCGCAGGGGGCTCTACCTAGCGAACAGGTGGCGGTCAAGTGGATTCGCTGGCCTGTTTAACGTGCCACGTGTACGGCTCTGATTCGGCGGGATTGCGCTTCTATTCTATTTGACCGCAGCCAAGTCAAAGTCAGTTATTAGGCCCCCCCTGATATGTTTACATCTTCTGCAATTTTGATTAATCGACTTTTAATTCCGTGGAGAGAGGAATATGTTGCGGTCGGGATCAGCTTTGTATCAGATTCGACGGTTTCTCTCCGCTGTTGTCGGAAACCAAACTTCACAGTGGTGATTATCCTGATTGACCTCTCTAGAGAGGCCTACGTCGGGGTCGGGATTGCCCTCTGGAGAGAGGCCCACGTCGGGGTCGGTATTGCCCTCTGTAGTCGACCGATCGTTGTAAAGAGACTGTGCCGCCGGGACCACAGAGGATTACACCAACGGTTCCTGCCTGCCTGCCTGCCTACCTGCCTGCTTGCCTGTCTGTCTGCCTCTGTCTTCCAGAGAGAGATTCGACTCTCTAGTACTCGTGCTCTCTAATTCTAGTGGTTGACGGACGTCTTTTCCCCCGATCATAACGCACCCTGATCTTACGACGGAATCATGCGTGCTTCTAGCTGTTTTTCTCCGGTCTAACACGGTTATATGATGCGGGTGCGTTGTGTTCGAGGAGAGGATAGTGTGAAGGTTTCTTTTGCAATGAGTTGGCCGTGTTCACCGGCTCCTCTTTTGTTTCTTTAAAAAAATGTCGGACTGAAGTTGGCAGTCGGACCTGAGGATTGATTACAGGGATTGCCGTTTGCCAGCCAGTAGGAACCTTACGATTTCGGTTGAATAAACCCTGAAATTGCGACCAGGAACGTGAAAAGGAAAATGCTCAAAGGAGTAACAAAATTCTCAGGGAGTCGACAGACAAGAGTTGGATAGAAATTTGCTGCTTGATTACATCTTTTGATTGATTGTACAAGTGTGTTTATGTAATTGATTAGTGGAGAGTGGGACACTTGTCCATTTTCGTGGAAAATAATTTGTCCATGTTGCTCACACCGTCTTCCTGAGATAACATTATGTACAAAGCCTCCCGCTACTATCAATGTGTGTGTGTGTGTGTGTGTGTGTGTGTGTGTGTTTGTGTGTGTGTGTGTGTGTGTCATGTTCGCTATACACGGACTCCACAGAAGGAAATGACTGTGGTAAAGTGTTTGGTCGGACTTTCACCGAGTCATCAGGAGGGGTGTTTTGTGTGTGTGTGCAAGGGCCTCACTCCACTACTCTCCACATGCAAAAAAGGGGGGAAATACGGTCGTGTATCTTCCCATGTTCTAGCGGAAGATTCATTCTCATTTGGCACATTTGGTGAGTAGTGGAGCTACCGGTAGGCCCAAAGTTTCTTCTGCCGTGGTAACCAGTTGCGACTCGGGACGTGCGGGTCGCGGACGTGGGGCAAGGTCCTACTACCGTGTTTGGTACCCCGAACACAACGCACCCTGAGAACAACTGTATAGAAGCCATCTTTCCAGTCCGGTGCAGCCAAAATGAGGGTGCGTTGTGTTCGGGGGAGGACGGCAGCCATGAGGACTCCGGATTTTGATGTGATTTACGCAGAGGTGCAGAAAAGCAGTTCATTCTCGATTTAAGGGTGTCATCCTTGCGCAGGGGCCATGCTAATCTTCTCTGTATCATTCCAATTTTAACGGATGTCCCGAAGGACAAAGCAGTTCATTCTCGATTTTCTGCCCCGTTCCACAACACGTCCAGATTCAGATGTTCAGTCCAATCGCCGTTGCTAACAGTAGTCGGAGGACCTCGCCGCTGGGAAAAAAAGAAAGGAAAAAAAAAGGACCTTGCCCCTGGGAGTTGGACATACACGTCCCTCGACGGGCGGCGACACTCAACAGACCTGCGACAGCGAAGCAGCGCCGTCGTCATCAGCCTGGCCACCAGCATGGCACGCGCGGCCAAGTGAGGCGGGTGAACTCCAACAGGTGGTTGTCTGTACTGCGTATGAATAATGCGCGTAAAGTGGGCAAGGTTCAGGCTGGCTTATCACAGGCATAACACCGGTTCGACCTGACGTGCTGCGGGCCTGTTTTGCACAACGTTTGCTCGAACCAGGCCTTAATTGTGGACAGGTTCCTGTTCGCTTAGCTGCACAACCTGAGCCTTTTTTGGCCTAACCTTTCTTTTTCTGAACGAAGACGCCGACACACAGGTGATGACGTGGAGACTCCGCGGCTTTAACTTTTGTCGCGTTGTCTCGAGATTTCCTCAGGTGCTTTGTTATTTTTTTTTGGGGGGGGGGAGGGGGGCTAACGTCCTACGATCCGAAACTGAAAAAAAAAGGGGAAATTTTCGATATGACCCTGAAAGTCCGATTTATTTGTGGCGTGATGCTCTAGCGGCCGACTTACCCTGTCGTGCCCCTGGGGCCTTTGAACTTTCCTTCAGGCCCCTGTCAGTGACATTTGGAACTTTGCAGCATGCCCCTGTGACCGTTGGTGGCACTCGCAGCTCTCTCCCTGGCCCTGGGAGGGGAGCTACCGGGGCATACTGGAAAGTGGCACTCTCAGCTCTTCCCCTGGCCCTGTGAGGGGAGCTACCGGGGGCCAAGTCCCACTGACGCTGATTCGTCATTTCTGGCGGTTCATCTTCCAAATCTACGGCCAGGTTTTGAGAATTCAGGTAAGTGGGACTTGGCCCCGGGACATACTGGAAAACCGCACCCCTAGGCCCGGGGCATATTGAACATAATTCAGGTCCAAACGATGCCAGGTTTTTTTCAGAATTTTCAGTCATTGTCAAAGGGTCGTGGCAGGGTCTGGCAGGGTCTGTTGGCCGTCAGAGGGGCACGCTGCAAATAAATCAAACTTTCAGGGGCATATGGAAATCTGGCCGTTTATCTTTGGAATCTACAGTCAGGTTTTGAGAATTCAGGTAAGTGGGACTTGGCCCCGGGACATACTGGAAACCTGCGCCGGTAGGGGGCATATTGAACATAATTCAGGCCCAAATGACGCCAGGGTTTTTTGAGAATTTTCAGTCATTGTCAGAGCCTCAGAGGGTCGTGGCAGGGTCAGTTGGCCGTCCGAGGGGCACGCGGCAAATAAATCAAACTTTCAGGGGCATATCGAAATCTTCCCAAAAAATAAACAAAATGGAAGGATACGGAGAAAGATTAGCAAGAAAGATTTTTTTTTTTTGTACTTCTCGTTTTTTTTCCTGTAGAAGAAAGATGTCCTTGGGGGGAGGCTCCTCCCTACCTGCGCAGAAACAATTTCGTGCAGGTATTGACTACCAGCCCTCGGTTCGAATCCTTGTGAGTAAACAGACTCTCTGAATTATCTGCCCCCTGGGCCAAGTCCCATCAGCAGCGTCGAGTTTGTTTTTTGTTTTGTGTTTTCAGCGTCGAGTTTCCTCAACACCGTGTATCTGGACGTGATTTTTTGTTTTGTTTTTTCAGAGTAGAGTTTCATCGACACCCCGTATCTGGACGTGATTTGGCGATGTGCAAAAAATGACTCAACTGCACATTTGCACATCTCCATAAACACATCCAGATTCGGGCGTTGAGGAAAAAATGAGTCAACCGCACATCTCCATAAACACATCCAGATTCGGGCGTTGAGGAAACTCGATGCAGCTAGGTAGTGGGACCTGGCACTGGGCGTTGAGGAAACTCGACGCAGCTAGGTAGTGGGACCTGGCACCGGTCATTTCTACGATCATACCTGAAGCAACGTTGTTCAGACGTGGATTGATTGGCTGCTGCTCTTTTCTTTTTCACAGATCTGTTTCTTTTTTTTTTTTCTTTTTTTTTTTGGGAGGGGGAAGCTCCTAACATTATAGATGCAGATTGATTCTAGTAACATTAGGAGCTTCCCCCTTTAAACGAGATTTAAACCACTCGTACTGTACTGTCTGTCGTACAGGCCTCACATCGGCCGTGGGGCTGTGTCAGAGGCTGAAAAGCGATGCTGGCCACTGATTTCTTTAATAGACGGCGTGCTGGCACCGACTCTTTTCCAGATAGGTGACAAGTTTCTTTTTCTTTTTTTTCTTTTTTTTCTCTTTTTTTTTTCCAGACGAGTTTCTTTCAGCAAGGCTGGGGGCGTACGGGCGGTCTAAGAAAAAATGGAAAAGGTCAAAAAGGAAGAGCAAGCAGTATCAAGTACGGCGGATGAAGTGTGCTGTTCTGTAGTGAACCGTGAAATTGAGAGAAGAAAAGAGAAAAAAGTGTGCTGTGCTGTAGGTGCTGAAAAATCGTGTAGTGTGCTGTTCTGTAGTGAACCGTAAAATTGAGACAAGAAAAGGAAAAAAAAAGTTTGCTGTGCTGCAGGTGCTGAAAAATCGTGTAAACAGCTACTTACCTGTGGCGGGGATGTGTGTCTGGAGTCATCAGTGCAGCTGGAATTGGTGGGCTGGTTTGTGGACGTAATTTGGTGACGATTTGCAAAATGACACTTGTTCCAAAGCATTGTCATGATGATAAAAAAAAAAAGAACCATGTTGAGGATAAACTCCAGTGGGATAGAGATAGCCAGGGGGGTGGGTGGACCGTCGCTACCGCTGGCGCGTTAGCGCTCAGTCGTAACGACGCCTGCTTCGGCGGGCCTGGTTGGCGGCGTGAATTCCGCCGTGGAAGGATTGCCGTGGGTGACGCTCCGAAACCCTTGTTCTGTCAAGGGTCTATGGCGGTGGCCATAGCCGGGATCGTCAGCAACTAGACAAGTTGCCACCTAGCCCCTGCGCCCCATTGATACACGTTTTAGCATTAGTACTCTGCTGGTAGTCAGTGATATCAACCTTCGAAGTAGGAGGAAGAAGCCTTTCAGTGAGGAAGACAACTGCTCAAGATGGAACCCGAACCTTCCCCCCCCTCTCTACGGGGAGGGATCGATCAGGACGCAAGAGGCCAAGTTCCAGGTGACTATCGAATGGAGGAGGAGCGTATCTTGGAGATGGTTAGAGCTTTTTATGAGGAGGGCATCGTCCCGACGGATATCGATCCCGGAGTCATGGAAGTCAACGGAAGAGAAGTAAAGTTTATCTTGAATAATTCAGTGGATGAAGTCAAAGTAAAATGGCTCANCCGGAGTCATGGAAGTCAACGGAAGAGAAGTAAAGTTTATCTTGAATAATTCAGTGGATGAAGTCAAAGTAAAATGGCTCAAAGGCAGGACTGTCACGGTCATTTTCCGGGAAGAAGCTAGGTTTCTGCCAAGGAGAGTGAAGGAAGACGCTATCCGTGCGTATGAAGAAGGCTGGATCAGTGACGAAATCTTCGGTCAAGAATTCAAGCGAGGCCGCATAAAAGCCGAGAGTCCTAATGTGGTTTCCTATGTTCCAAGAAAGAAGTCACAGACTGGATGCTTGCCTAGAGATCTGACTTCGTGGAGCTGGCTGGTGTGATCTATCCACAGACTTCAAACCATGGATGACTCGAGCGGAGGTTAGAGATTGGCGAAGAACGATTGATGAGGACATATTTTGGGTGGTGGCTGTGGGTGTCCCACTAGACGAGATGGTTTTCATCCATGTGCATGTCGAGAGAGCGATCGGCAAGATCTTGAAGCGTCATCTTCCAGAAGCAGATGAATCAGATCTGAAGCTGATGAATATTCGTTTTGACATCGATCCGTCCAAGAGGGACTGCATGAAGGATAAAATCTGGATCCAAACTCATCAAGGAGATTCCCTGGATGTAAGACTGGCTAACGCCGACACGGAGTGGTGCAGAAGATATCGTAATTTCTTCCACACCGAAGACACGTGCAGAAGGCCGAGTCGTCGAACACAGGGAGGATCCTTCGGTAATCAACCGCAAGGGTCAACGTTGAACGGTCGGGCGGGAGGCTCAAGAGCTCAATACCAGGGCTCCCTCGCTCCAACTAGAGGAGGGATTCAACAACAGCAACAGGGAGTGGTCGCCGCAGCATCAGCGTCAGGCAACCTGAACGTTCCGGGAGGTACTTCAGTATGCAACAACCCAGTGTTCTCACCGGCGGGAGGATCGACGCAACAAGTCACTGGCAATCTCCAGGCTCCGCAAGCTGGCGTAATAAATACGAACATGCAAGGTGGAGGGTGGGCGTCCTTCTTCCAAGGTCTCCCCCCTCATCCTTTCGTCATGCAGCAGTCGGGTGGACAGCAGCGAACGTCCAGTTGAACGCAAGCCCTTCCTACTCTAATGTGCATGCTTTTGTTCCCTAGAACCAAGGGTGGTGGGGTCCGACGGCAGGACAATATCCAGGATACATGGGGATGCCCTATCCTCCCCCACCCCCTCCCCCTGCTTCTCCACTGAGAAGTCAGGGACAGGGACTGGGAGGTAGCCGATCTCGAGGAGAATCTTCCGGCAAGCAAAGACGAATTTCAGAGGACGGTGGGGTCGAGATCCGAGTGGATGAAATCCATGCGGAGGCTTCAGGCAATTCAAACGAAGGCTCCTCTATTGCAGGTATACTGTCTTCAAGAGCAGGTAAGCGCAAAACCTCGCGAGCTCGGATGAATGCTTTGTCCAAGGGTCAGGCGATCATGGAGACGAAGCTACTTCCGATTGTGTGTTGTTTTGCTCGAAGTTCTTTTTGGGTAGTTGCTTGGTTAGGTCTGGATGGGAACCCTTCGTTGTTTAGCATGGATTGCCCAGAGTCTCCTATGCCGACAGCTTCGGAATCACTTGCTAGGAATTTATTCCAGAACAAGATCCCCATGCGTATTATTGTGGACGTTTCAATGCCCCGATTCTTCGTCGAATCTGTGGGAGGCAGGATAAAGTATTATACCCCACTTTTCGATGCTCGTTTTCAGTCAGGTCAGCTCGAACAACTCGAGAGGGAAGGCCTTCGCCTGATCCCGCTAGCCTGGTTTGTAGACGGTAGCAAGCCAGATCTCCGAAGGGTGAAAGTTTCTCTGGCCCTGACAGCAGAATTCCTACATGAACTGAACGCTAAATTGGGAAAAGAGAAGAAACTGAATTCGCAGTTTCTCAAATCTGCACTGTCGGTAGCTTGGCCTCAAGTGACGGCAGAGCCTGCAGGCTCTTCTTCCCAGATCCAACCTGCTGGAACCCCTGCCCAGAATGGGCAGACTTAATGTTGCCTCTTGGAATATTCGCGGGTTAGGGGACACATCCGGTAGGAATAAGAAAGGTCGGCTAAAAAGTTGGATCCATGATAAGAAGATAGATATCATCTGTTTGCAGGAATGTAAGCTGTCTGAACCTAAGATAGAAGCTTTGGGGGCATGGTGGGATGGCCCACAGCTTTGGTCGCCAGCTAGGGGATCGAAAGGAGGTGTTGCTATTCTAGTACATCGAAGCCTTCAGGCTGAGATCGTTGATTTTTTCGCTGACCTTTGGGGGAGATGGGCGTGGGTTAAATTATGGTTGGAGGGTCAGGAATGGGTAATAGCCAATATTTATGCTCCTAACGACGTCCGTGAACGAAGGAATTTTTTTGAGGACCTGCCATTATTTATCCCGAACTGCGAACACCTTATTCTAGCTGGGGATTGGAATGAAACGGTATTCACCAATTCATGGTAGCTGAGGCAGATCCCAGGGCTCGATCCCTAGTTCCCCAACTTACCTGTGTACAATACCTGCGTCAACTCGAAGAGTTGAACCTGCGACCTGTAGAACCGCCAGTGGTAGGTAGGTCTGTCGTAGGTCTATAGGTAGCCAGGATTCGATCTGTAGACCTGTAGATTAGAAGACTAGCTGCAGTCCTTCTAGAAGGTTGGCAAGTGGTCAAGTGGTGCAGGCAAGTGGGCAAGTGGTGTGACTAAAGCAAGCCCATGTTGGAGACGAGGACAAGTGGCAAGGGCAAATAGTAGGACCCCAGTGCAACTGCACTGCGTCGTAGGGTAGTCGCCATGCAGTCATGGGAGAGTCTAGAAAGTAGCAGTCCGGCCCAGCAAGTACCACGGGGGGGACTGTGTGCACCATGGGCCAGGGATACAGGGCAGACCAACGCAGCGCAGAAGTATAAATCAAGAGGCTGCGTCCATTCATTCATTCATTCCTGCGGATGCCATGCGGAAGTGCTGCCTTAGCAGCTTGTGCGAGGAGGTCTGCAGTGTGCCCGAAGACGAAGTGGGCAGAGAAGTGTAGTGCAGCCATAGGTAGTGGCAGCTAGCGCTGCCATAGCTGTAGC